GGATCACTGGAATGAGCCGTAATGGGACCTTTACTTTTCCTACGGTGTTGTAATGAAACAGTGTCCTGATTGTGACCTCTGCAGATTGAGGGCTTCTTTTGGGGGTATGTTTAGTTCAGTATTGTTTAGTCTACGCAGCCCTACAGAATACCTGCGTCTTGCCAAGTGAGAAAAATCAGCAAGGCACATCCCCAGCAGCTTGTGTTTCCTAGATATTTTATAATTAATTTACCTGGTGGAGAATGCAGGCAGAAAGGCAACAGGCAGGAGATGTTGAATGTGCATGTGCATGAATACACACTCACCTTGTCTCCAGAAATATCCATTCCTGAGATGCTTGTCAGATGAGCAATTATCTGAGGTTGAGGTGTCTTCTCACAAGAACCAGCAGAGGCAGAAACTTCAAAGGGTTTCCGAGAGAACTGAAAATCAATTTCAGGGTCATTTGACTTTTAAAAGTTAATGAATGGAAAAGCATGCAAAGTCAACGACGTCCTGCAAATGCTGCTGAGCAAATTAATGAATTCTCCTCTCTCGTGGAGACATTTCCCATAGTGCAACTTAACATGCAGACAAAACATTCTGACTCAGAGTTACACTCACAAATTAGCCCTTTTCAAAAGTCAATTGTCTGGATAAACATACATTTAATATTGTTTTGCTGCAGAACTGCCATCTTACATTAATTGCAAATCAGAATAATTGATAATAGTGGAGGCTATTTGTCACGGTTTATACTAGTAAAAACAAACCTTGAAATCTTCATTACAAAACAAAGCTATATTGAACATTTCCACAATACTGGCTAAGGGGGCAAAAGAGTACACTGAGTAATTGTTGACCTGATAATGTTGCCACACCATATGGGGTAAGTTGTCACAGAAGCCTGCTGTTTGAAATATTAAATAAACAAAGTAAACAAGGCACAACATTCTATTTATATTAAAGGCTTAGTTCACCCAAAAATAAAAATGTAAACCATTACAGTTTTCTTATTTTGTGGTGTATAATTATTTTTTAAATGTATTGTAGACTATATAGCTTATCAGCCATTAAGTTCTTTAGGCAAAACAATTATGAAGTACACAACATTGTATAATTGTTCAGGTTTTGAAATATGAAGGACTATAAGAAGTAAAACATATTTCTATTTAAAGGATTAGTTTACCCCCCCCCCCCTTCAAAAAAAAAGAAGAAAAATAATAAATGGCAGAATTTAAATGTTCTTATCAGCCAATGAACAATTATGCAAAACAGTTCTGAAATATATATGATTTTATGAAACAAATAAAAAATGTTAAAGGAAGACTCCACTATTTTTGAAAATAGGCTCATTTTCCAACTCCCCTAGAGTTAAACAGTTGAGTTTTACCATTTTCGAATCTATTCAGCCGATCTCCGGGTCTGGCGGTAGCACTTTTAGCTGTAGCTTAGCATAGATCATTGAATCTGATTAGACCGTGAGCATCTCACTCAAAAATTACCAAAGAGTTTCTATATTTTTCGTGTACTAAGACCGACAGAAAATGAAAAGTTGCAATTTCTAGGCCTATATGGCTAGGAACTATACTCTCATTCCGGCGTAATAATCAAGGAACTTTGCTGCCGTACCATGGGTGCAGCAGGGGCAATGATATTACGCAGTGCCTGAAAATAGGCTTATTGGAAGTTACCTAGCTGGGGACTATTTTCAGGCGCTGCGTAATATCATTGCGCCTATATCGGCCTAGAAAATCACAACTTTTCATTTTCCGTCGGTCTTAGTACACGATGTAACTACAGAAGAGTCAAGTTTTAAATAGGAAAAATATAGATTTTTGAGCGCGATGCTAACGGTCTAATCAGATTCAATGATCTATGCTAAGCTACAGCTAAAAGTGCTACCGCCAGACCCGGAGATCGGCTGAATGGATTCGAAAACGGTAAAACTCAACTGTTTAACTCTAGGGGCAACCCTCTACATTGCGAGTAAATCATTCGCAAATGCGACTAAATCTTACTCTGGGCAACTAAATAATGTCTAACATTAGCCATTGGCTAATAAATTCTTAGATTTTACTCGCCAGTATGTGTGTGAGAGGCGTTCAACACAGAT